TAGTAGATTCACGCAACGGTGCCAGAGCGAGGTGTAGTTCGCTAGCGGTGTGAACGATGACCCATGACCTAGAAGGAGCGGTCAAGGCAACGCAAAGGACGGGGCCACCCTCGCCGGGGCGAGATGTTGTGTTTATCATTCCCGTTCCCTCTCCTCTTGCTCCTCCGCCTCCGCCTCCTCCTCCTCCTCCTCCTCCTCCTCCTCCTCCTCCTCCTCCTCCTCCCCTATCCCCTTCCTCCACAACCGCTCAATATGAATGCTGCTCTCCTCTCTCTCCCGGAGAAGGCCCAGGAGAAGCCTTTCCCCTCCGCGCATTCTATACTCACGCAAAGGGTTCTAAGCATTGCCTCTTCTATTCTCTGTGAGCAAGCTCCTGCTGTCTCCGCAGCTTCTCTGCCCAAGTGCCCCCCGTCGGCCGCGCGTGCGGGCGCCTTATGCAGGCGGTCGCACAAGCGGCTCTCCAGGGCGCTGGGGAGATTTTGTTCAGGGGGCTGCGGGCCGCGCTCTACGAGCGGCTCGTGGCTGCCCCCCTCTCTGTGCTTCAGGACCAGGGGCCTCCATCGCCTGCCTGGTCCATCCAGCAGGCGGACTCGTCCGAGGGTGAGGGGGCCTCCTGCCCTCTCCCTTCGGCGGGTTCCACCTGCCCCACCGTCTGCCTCGGGCTGGCGGTGGACCTGAGCGGCGGGGTCTCTCCCTGGCTGCTCAGCACGGTCGCCGCCCTCCTCTGGGTGACGGCCGCCTGCAGCGCCTGCGCGGGCTGCTGCCTCGGGCTGCTGGGCCCGTACGTGTGGCGGAGGCTCTGGCCCTCCGCCTGGCCGCGCGGCGCGGTTTCTGCTTCACCTGAGCAGGACCGCCGTGCGGCGCGAGCGCTGGCCTACGGGGCTCCGCCTCGACCTCAAGCGCTCGAGCGGGCAGACGCCCAGCGTGCGGGCGGCGGCGTCCACGGCGGCGCCCACTGATGGCGGAGCTGCCACCAGTTGGCGGAGGGCCCCTTTGGCCCGAGCTCTACCCTTTCGCTGCGCCCACGGCGCGCGACTACGCACGATGGCGCCTAGACGACGGCGACACCAGCTGGG